TAATGCAGAGTAAAAGCACCAAGCTTCCATTGAGAATATGCAGGAGGTTAAGAGTAGTTGGATTTAATTATTTCATTACAGCCTATACTATAGTATGTGCAGGTAGGCAATATTTATATAACAATATCAATGATATATTTTAGGCTTTCCCTATAGCATAGTAGAGAAATTGGCAGGGAGGAAAAAGGATTCACTTCATTGGAAATGATCATTCTTATTTCTAGACCAAACACTACAATTGAATTCAGCTTCTAAAATTTGGGTAAATTGCCTGATTTCGTTTCCACTCTGACCTTTGGAATCTGGCTGATTAAGGCTGGGCCTGCTAACGCCGCTGGTCTGTCCTTCTACTAAGCTGACCTGCTAGAAACCAGCCAATTCAGCCAGGCAACCAGCTACTAATCAGCCAGTTTCTAGTTAATCTTTACTGCTTACAAGTTCCAAGATTATTGATTATTTAACTGCCAGCATCCAGGAGGGTGAAGGGACCTGTCCTTCTTCCCATGAAAACAGGAAAGACAGTCTTCTGTGGGAAGAACGGTCAATGTACAACTTAAAAAAGAATCAGTGATGGCCACTGAGCCCAGAGGCTGTGCTTCCCAGCCAGGCCACATGCACTGCGCACATCACTCTCTTGCCTCTGTCTCAGCTAGGTCCCCCCCTCCCTCTGCACTATGACTAGAATGGAGCTGTGTAAATATGGGTGGCATTAGTGCACACTCCACCGCCAGTGGAGATCCTCTGATATACAAACAAGACAGTACAATGAACTGCAGAGACCTGCCTATGGTCTCTGGGTTTATGGGAAGGGCATTTTGCAGGCTAACTGGGTGTTAAGGATACGCTTTGGCTATCTCCCCTGGCAGGGTCAGTTGGAGGGAGAGCTAATCACTCAGTAAACAGAGAGAAGAAAGATGCTTATACTTAATAAGCCTTGCAAATGGAAAAAGCAAGCTCCTACCCACCGTGATTCTCTCTAGAAACAAATGGCTTGGATCCAAGCACTACAAAGCCCTTTCTGAAGGCTGAGAGGTCTCCGGGTCCCAGCACCCCCAAAGGTAACCCTTCTGTGTTGTTCTCTTTCTTGTGGAAGTAGCTTTAACAAGGGAAGAGGCAATGACTGTGATATACACGCGCATACACTGTGTATGCGCGTGTATATCACAGTCATGATTATTCCTTTTGTCTTAAGTGATGGCACTCCTGATGTGCAGTTCACCCTTCTCCCTCAGGGGCAGATGCAGCAAATTACAGGGGAGGGCCAGACTGAGGAGCTGGGTGCTGCTTCGGCAACACTTGTCAAAGGGTGTTCCCAATCCCCTTCCTCCAAGCCCCCTGAACCCTGAAGAGCGAAAGCAGCACAGAGCTCTAGCGGTTCAGCAAGTGGCAAAGCTGGCCTGGTGGCAGAAGGGAGGTTGAGGTCTCTGCCAAGGCTTGCTGCTCTGGTTTCTCTCATCTCTGGCTTGTGCCAACCACCCTGTCAGATGAAAGAAACAGTGTGGTTCGATGCGCCAAGTCAAAGCTCAGGCTGGGAGCCGCAGCCACGACACTGTCTCCACAGTCTTTTACATTGATTATTTTGTGCCCACTCTGGATACTTTCACTTAAAATGTGGGAAATAAAAACACAAACCTGTCTCCCCAGGCTATAAAAAGGAATGATGAATATAAAAAGGGGAAAAAAGGATCATAGAACATTTTGTAGATACACTACACATAAATTCTAAGTAAGCCTGGCATGGGATAATGGCAAATACAACCATGTGAGGTGGTAGAGGGGCACTTTGTCCCTGAGAGAACTCCAAAACCAGGGAATTCCAGGCATAAGATGACAGCCTTCCTGCTTGCACAGTTGCTATTACTCGGCCCTTTTCTTTTCTTTTTTATTTTTGAGACGGAGTTTTGCTGTTGTTACCCAGACTGGAGTGCAATGACACGATCTCGGCTCACCGCAACCTCCACCTCCTGGGTTCAAGCAATTCTCCTGCCTCAGCCTCCCGTGTAGCTGGGATTACAGGCACGCACAACCATGCCCAACTAATTTTTCTATTTTTAGTAGAGACTGGGTTTCACCATGTTGACCAGGATGGTCTCGATCTCTTGACCTCGTGAGCCACCGGCCTCGGGCTCCCAAAGTGCTGGGATTATAGGCGTGAGCCACCGCGCCCAGCCTACTCGGCCCTTTTCTAGGAAAAAGGACTTCAAAGATTTCCACCAATCACTCACATGGCCATTGTCTAGGGCACCAGTATTTCTTTCCATTTCAATTTGAATACAGCAAGGAATCCAGGAAGAAGACAAGGAACTTTTTTTCTGACTTCTCCACTTAAGAGAGGGTGAGTCTCTGGTCTCTTTCTAGAAACAAAGAAAGGAAGAGTGCTTGCTAATAATATAGCCCTTCGGCCTTCCAGCTTCTGGTTAGAACGAGGGGCCTAAACATAATCATTCAATAGTGTTTGTTCTGTGTGCCCCCTATCTTTGTCATTTCTCTTCTTCCTGTTTCTAAAGCTAGATTCAAAAATTTTAAAAAGTCCAGGCATGGTGTCTCATGCCTGCAATCCTAGCACTTTGGGAGGCTGAGGAGGGTGGATCACCTGAGGTCAGGAGTTCCAGACCAGCCTGGCCAACATGGTGAAACCACGTCTCTACTAAAAATACAAAAACTTAACTGGGCATGATGGGGCATGCCTGTAGTCCCAGCTACTTGGGAGGCTGAGGCAGGAGAATCACTTGAACTCAGGAGACGAAGGTTGCCGTGAGCTGGAGATTGTGCCACTGTACTCTGGCCTGGGTGACAGAGCCAGACTCTGTCTCAAAGAAACAAAAAACACAACAAAGCAAAACAAAAGTTAAAAGAGATTTAAAATAAGTATTGGGATACTTCCATTCTGCTAAAATTTTTAGCTAATTTGTCTAGTCTTATTTCATTGTATCTGTATATTTGCTCTTTAAAGAAATGTTTCAAAACCACAATGAGCTATCACTTCACACCAACTGGTATGGCTGTTACTAAAAAAACAAAAAATAACAAGTGTTGATGTGTTGGTGAGAATGTGGAGGAATGAAAACTCCTGTGCTTAGCTGGTGGGGATGTAAAATGGTGCTGCTTCTAGGGAAAACTATGGAAGTTCCTCACAAAACAATAAATAAAATTACCTTATGATTCAGCAGTTCTATTTCTGGGTATATACTGAAAAGAATGGAAAGCAAGAACTTCAGGAGATAGTTACACCCCCATGTTCACAGCAGCTTCATTCACAATGGCTAAAAAGTAGAAGTAACCCAAATGTCCATGGATAGATGAGTGGGTAAACCAAATATAGTATGTGTGCACAATTGGATCTTATTCAGCCTTGAAAGGGAAGGAAATTCTGCTCTATGCTACAATATGGATGAACCTTGAAGATGTGATGTGAAATAAGCCAGTCACAAAAGGATATTGTATAATTTCACTAACATGAGCTCCCTAGAGTAGTCAGATTCATAGAGACAGAAAGTAGAATGGTGGTTGCCAAAGGCAGGGGGCAGGGGAAAATGGGGATTATAGTTATTACTTAATGGATAGTGGGTTTCAGATCTGTAAGATAGAAAAGTTCAGGAGATGGATGGTAGTGATGGTCGCACAACAATGTAAATGTACTTAATGCCACTGAACTATGCACATAAAAGGGTAAAAATGATAAATTATGTGTCAAATATATTTTATTACTTTAAAAAAAAGTGTTTTGAACATCCGACATCATGTTCTACCTCCATAACATTTGTGATGGAGGAAGAGCAGGTATTGTAATCTGCATATCAACACAGGAAGACAGGCAGAAGGCCTCAGTGCTCTAAAAGCTTTGAGTCTGGCCTGGTGAGGTCCATCATCTTCGGCTGGAATCAGCCACCTGTTCAGCTACCTCCGGATGCCTCACCCTTTGCTTGGAGGCATAAAAACACTTCCACAGCACTATTCAACTTCAGGGCTAATGGCAGCTGTGGGGTCCGAGTAGAGGGGGTTTGGGCCTTACTGGCACCTCTCTCCTTCCTTCTGCTTTCACATCTGGCCAGGGACACTCCCCTTCTGCTAGGTTCCCAGACTCCACCCAGGCCCACTGACTGGACAGGAGGGCATGGTCCCAATTACCTCCCTCGACCACTGGACCACTGGCCCTCGCAGAACCCTGGAAGTGGCTGGGAACCCTGGCAGTGGCTGGGAACCCTGGTGGAGAGGCCTGTGCCTCCTGAGGCTTCAGCCCTCTCTGGATGGGTGAGTCCCTCCAGTGCCTCTGTCCTGTGTCCTGCTTCCTTTGTCCTCTCCAGAGGTCCCTCCTGGGCCTCACCACTGTTCAGCCTCCTCCAAACAGCAGCTCCCAATCCCCAGGACAGCTCTTCAAGACACAACCCCTTCCTCCCAGGAGACCCGCAGGTTTTAGCTCTCCCGGGGCCACTGCTGGACCAAGTCCTCAGTTGCTTCCTTGCCATTATCCTCTTTAAGCTCCCTCTCCCTCCTCTGGAAGCCTCCCTGGCTTCAGACTCCTTAATTGCGTGGCAGTTCCTTAACAAAAGCAGGTGCGTCTGCCCCGGCCCTCTTCAGACTTTCCATCACAGGCCAAAGGAGAACCAGAGAGCTTGCAGGACTCAGGGGCCTTATTAAGACAGGCGCAAAACGATCCTTCGTCTTCTGTGCACCTTAGGGAACGCAGAAGGGAAGCAAGGCTGGGCAGGGGAAGTTCCCAGAGCAGGCAGTCAGGGTTGCCCCCTGGCAAGGAGGTTTCCGGAGGCTCCGAAGTTCTCCAATGTGTGTGTATGTTTTCGGTGGTGGTAACTGGGAGGCAGGGGGTCAAGACCAGGAGTGCAGAGAGTGGGAGAGAAGACCACCTCCGCCCATCCTGGGCGCCAGGTCGGTCCTAACCTCCACCTGGCGTCAACTTTTTGCTGCTTCCGTTAGATGGCGCCCAATACTTTCTAACCACTTGTGAAACTGCTCCTGGCCCGGAACAAAAAGAACCTTGGGGTGTGTGAGTGTGTGTGAGTGCGAGTGCGCGCGCGGGGCCGGGCTCAGGGCACGGGCGTCGCCTGGCACTACGCGTGGCCCCGTCTCGGGTCGGCTCGGCCCAGGGCAGGGGCGCGCTGGCGGAAGGAGCCGCGCGGCCGGCGGAGAACTTTCTTCCTTTTCCCTTCGTTCTCCTTCTTGGGCTCGCGCCTAGGCCCTGGACACTCTCCCGGAGAGAAGCCGGGAGACCCGGCTGCGGCCTCCAGCAGCCAGCGCCGGCTGCAAGCGACCGCGGGGCCACAGTGCGCGAGAGGAAAGGGGTCTAGACCGTGCGGGGTGGAGAGCTGGGACGCACCTGACAGCCCCTTTCTCCGCCCTGACTTACGGCCCCAGCGCTCACAGCCGCTGCTCTTTTAAGAGAATGGGGCAGGTGCAGGTTTGGTTGCTGCTGTTTTAGCCGCTCCAAGGAAATTGGTGTAAGATTGATTTCCTAAGCGAATGCGTGCGCGTTTCCAGCAACACAGGGCAACCTTTCTCGCCCCCAAAGCCGGTGAAATTAAACAGACTTCCTTATGAAAAGGCCGTTGGGGACCCTAGGGCGTCAGATGAGTCAACTAATTTTAAAATAACTGTTAAACGGGTGGTTAGGGAGCGCACTTTCTCTCCACTACCAAGTTCACCTCTTCTTCCACCCCCTCTAAAACAAGTGACTTGACGATAAGTGATCCTGTCCCCTAGTCCTCTCCTTAATGCCAGTCTGGAAGCGCACTTAATGCATGTCTTGGAGAAGGGATGCGTCTCCTCGCCCTCGAGAACCAGCGCGGAGACCTTCTTTTGTGCCTCTGCTTGGCTGTGAACTTTCCCGCGCGGTAGGTTCTCCTTTAAGAAAGTAGCGTCCCTATGAATATTTAATGCTGTGCGCGGGCCGGCGGGGCGGAGGGGAGCCCACGGCCAGGGTTTCCGCGCGCGCAGAGACCCTGACGCAGAGCGAGCGCTTCCCCACTAGCCTGGCCGCCGCGGGAACTCGGGGACGAGGAGGGCGGAGGTTAGCTGGAGGAAAGGGCCAGCAGAAGGGGGGCTGGGGACGGGAGCCCGGCTCGGGGCCGTCGCGTTCATTTCCATAAGAAAGCTGAAATCGCAGTTGGAAGCAGGATTTCTCGCCCCCGCAGCCCTTCCCCCATACCCGGTTTACTGCAAGAAGTGGGCTGCGGAGCTCAGAGCCCGAAGTGTGTGCTCTGGTCTTTGATGATGTTGATAAAATGTGGTTTCAAATGTTGTCCCGAAGAGGCCGGTTTCCTGCCTGTGTGTGGAATGGAAGGACCGCGCTGGGTGAGTCCAGAGCGGGGAGGGGAGCGGACAGGAGGCGCAGGGCGGAGGAGAGGGAGGGCGCAGCCGGGCGGGCGCGGGGCAGCGCTGCAGAGGAAGTTGTCCTGGGGTTTTTGAAAGGGGGAACCAGGCTGAAATCAAGTTTCCCGAGCACAGAAAGAGAGAGAGAGAGAGAGAGAGAGAGAGAGAGAGAGTGAGTCCCAGAACCCACGAGGCCCGCGCGTGGGAAAATCTGGCAGATCTCGCTACCTCCCTCTTCAAAGAGCGGGGGAAACTTCCGCTGGCCGTCGCTGACCCTCTTCCTGCGAAGGAATAAAAATGAACTTGCCCAGATACTGGATTCCACTGACGATTCAGTTCAGTTCTTTCTGCGTTCGCATTGGGTATTGAGTTTCTTTTTGACTTGCAGTGTGAACAGTAGCCATGTGACCTCAATTCTATAACACACACACACACACACACACACACACACACACACCTCTCCTAGGTACTTTATGATCCCATCTGGAGGAATTAAAATCCAGATCTGTGATGTTTATTCTTAGATAGTTTACCAAAAGCAGGGGGAAAATGTGTGAGACACATGTCTGCAAATATAACAAAAGTACTTTCCCTTCTGCTTGAAAAGTTGCCTGCAAATGGCTGGCTTCCGTTTACTGACTGCACCACCTGTACTTCTCCATGAAACTAAATGGAGTCAGGAATAAAGCACCAATCAGATCAAGCAATTAAATACCAATTATGACTATTAATGACTTCATTACTAATGACTGGAGTAGAGGACTCCAAATCCAATTGAGGTAATCAAGCTGTTTTAAAATTCTGCTACCTAACATTTTTCCTGCACTCCTTCCCCAAAATAGGAGGTTAAAAAAACAGAGGTTAGGTTTTCAAAAAGTTCTCTAGGAAGTATTCATGGTCAATGTTGAATTTATTTCTCTCAGTAAAGTTTATTGCTACTGCTGGTAAATAATGGAGTCTTCCTTTCTGGCTCTGTCAAGTTATGCAAAGTGTAATTGATGATGGTGTTTACATGATATATGGTACTGAGTTTGGATGCAGAATCGGGAAGGAGCAGGGGTACTTTCTCTCTTCAGTTACTCTGATAATGCAGCAGACCCTGAACGATTTTAAGGAGCAAGTGTTTTAATTCTTCAGATGAAGAAATGGCTATTGGGATGGTTGAGGAAATGTAGAATGGGGAACCCAGACAGCAAAGAGAAAGAAGGAATTTGGCCTATGTTTTGAATTTTATTTCTGCTCATCATAAGCTAAGTGACTGACAAGAAAAGGTTACTGAGAGCAGTATATTGGCATAAAGGCTACTGTGTGGCTGGGTTTATTTATTACTGAAGATGATTTGCCAACCCTCCTTGCCCCTTGATTGACACCCCTTCTTATCCCAAATGGAAGTCCTTGCTCATTCTGGGATGGGAGGAGGAGGCCTGGAGGGAGGAAGGGAATACATTTCTGCTGGAGTCCATGAGAAGAAAGGAGGGGGGAGTTAGTATTCTTTAGTCACTGTGTAGCAGGCAGGCTAGGCAGCTGGGCACTTGGAGGAGCCAGCAATTCATCTTGATATAGGTCATCTCTGCTCATTGTCCCATAGTTCAGCCCTTCAGGACACAGGGAGTGTTTGGAGCAATGAACTTCAAGTCCTTGGCTTGGGATATTTCCCCATCACCTCCCTCTTAGGTGGAAGCCTACAGCAGCAGCAGCCCAGCATCTGGTTCTGATGTGTTTACTAGGCTGGTATGGAAATGCCCAGGCTGCATGGCAGAAACCCGAGCTGCTAGTGACAAGCACACTCCTCTCCTAAGCAGCGAAAAGTTTTGATACTTTTTGAGCACTGGGTGGCCTCTTCTCTTGATGTGAAGCACATGATCCCCCTCCCATTTCTATTTGTCAGAGTTAATTGTCCTGCAGTGCGGGAGCTCACACCTCAGGCAGTGCCAAAAAATACAGCAGAGAAGGAATCCTGCACAGGTAACAGGATGGCGTGGTATTACCTTAGATGCCTAGGAGTTCAGAAACGTCAGTGGAATGAAATGGGCCTGGGGCATTCTCCCTTTGGTGCCTCTCTAGGGACAAGCCCCTTTGGTCTGGCCCAGACTGTGGGCAGCCTATCTATGTTTGATGACCTTGAGTGCTGAAAGTGAAGTTTGTCACTTTCTGTAGCTGGACATTCGACCCCAGAGGCAAATCTAAAGAGGAGAGCTTCAGGTATCCACACAATTTCATTTCTGTTCTAGGGCACCACGAGGCACCCTGAGAACTCAGAGGACCCAGAGGCTCCCCTCAAACAAATTCCCTGCTGACTCTGGACACCCCTTGAAAGAGGGAGCAAGAGGCTGCCACAAGGGTTGGCTTATAACTCCCAGCAAAGACTCCCAGCAAACAAGTTCCATTTGGGCTCTGCCTACCACTAAGCCTGGTTGTAGGGGAGGCAAGGCCCCTGAACAGCGCAAAGATAATCAGTTGTTCCCCTTTCTGGAGTCAGAAGCAAAGAAACCTGAAGGGCTGGCAGTGGTGCTGGCTCTGGGTTTATTGACTCTGTGATCCTGTCCAGCTGTCCTGCGGGGAATTCCAGAGTGCTCCTAAAGTGCATGGGGAAACTGCAGAAGCAGGACTGGGGCACAGTACCAGAAGCTATTTGTCTCTTAGAACCTGGCATCCCCTCCACTTACCTTACAGGAGACCCACATCACTCAGGTCTCAGGACACCTGGTGGGAGAAACTGGTGACAGTTGAAGGCAGGTTTCCTCTACTTACAACTTGTTTGAAAATGGACATAAAGAGGAGAACAGACACTCCGTCGCCCATACAGGGCCTCCATTGTGTCAGAAAACCTATCCCCTCCTAGGGCACCTTTGACACTCCCCTAGTTGGGCCTACATATTGTTCAGGACCTGTCCCCTGTACCCAAATAAATATAAATGAGTTCATTTCTTTAAAAGAAATATTACCAGGCTTATAAGAGCCATGCTAGTGAAAGGAAAAAAAAAAAAAAAAAGAAAACAGAAGAAAATTTTTAAAAAAAGTAAAAAAGAAAAGAAATATTACAGCTTTAAACTTTTCCCAGCCAGAATCCACCTAATTTCATCAAGGTTTCTTGCTAGGAGCCATAACCCCCTCCCCACCTGTTTTCCCTTCTTTTTTTGTGGTTTAAAATTGCATTTTAGGAGGGTTGATATAATGTTGTTCATGTCAGCAAGTCTCCCTGCCCCACCCTCACCCTGCTGCCCTATATGGAATTATAGTTGGAAACTACACACACACATAGAAAATCTTTTAAGATTTTTTTTCTGCTATTCTTCCTGACTAGAAGAGTTGACAAGACATAGACACATTAAGTTGCATAAAATACAGTAGCGTGATCAGCCTAAATGCATCTCATTTGCACTGTTTGTAGCCAGGGGTGGGGGCTTGTGTCACTCATTGCCTCCCCCTCCTCCTCCTAGGGCAGATCAGCCGGCTGGAATTTCCGAGCAGGCCCCAAGGCAGCAGCCATTTGGGAGGTGGAAGGCCCAGCCTACCCCAGGCCAGCGGGGGTGGGAGGGTGGATAGGGAATGTGTCTGGAGGTCTGGCCTGAGGGCTTGAACCAGCTTTGGCAGACCTGGGCTCTGGGAGGCTTGGCGGGTGGGTGCCCGCAGGTGGAAGCTGGAGGTCTGCAGCGATGCTTCTGAGCTTCTCTTGAGTTGAGTTCAAGAAAGGTGACACCAAGAAGTAGGGGAATAGTCACTGACTATATTTTACATCCACGTCTACCCTTTCTCGTCCACTTTGTCGGTGGAAGAGAAACACTTCTGCCTGATGGGTTTCTGCACCTGCTCCTAGCCCTGAACTCGGGCCCTGAGCTTCTCACTGCCGCCTGCTCTGCTCTGAGCCCCACTCCTGAGCCCGGGAGGTGCCGGAGCAGCGCCTCTCCCGCAACTCCGAGAGGCCCGTGGGAGCGGCGCCGGAGCCTTCGAAACCCCGTAGGGGTGTGGGGGTGAAGTTGGGGATCATCCGGGCGATTTTTTCTTACTATATCCCAATCACTCTCCCGCGTTGATGTCAACTCTCCCAGTCTCCCGGTGTTGGGGCGCCAATCCTTTCCCTCCAATTGCTACCCATCAGTTGGAGGTCGGGTCCCAGGGTTGCCCCAGGGTTCAATGGCAGCGGGGGGCGCCGGGTAGAGGGGCGGGAGGACCTGGGTCTTCGGGGACTAAAGGGGACCTCAGCGGGGCGGAGTGCAAAGCCTTGGCCGTTGGGAAATGCCCCACTAGCCACTGTGAGTGCCCAACAGCGTGTCGTGGGGGCGTCCGTTCTGCAGCTCGGGTGACTCAGATGCCCCGCCAGCCCCGCCAGCTCCCCGCTTCTCGAACGCTCTTCTGCTTGCCCAGCGGGGAGACTTCAGGGCCTGCCTCGTCAGGCCAGATTGCTGCCTGCGACCTTCCCGAGCCAACCAAGGGCGAGGCATGTTGCCCAACAAGGCCACCGCCTGACCGAGCCTCCCGGGGAACAGCCATTGCCAAAGCCCCGCGGGCCCAGGCGCGGCCACCTACCAGTACCCGCGCAGGCCTGTGGGAGCTCACGGGCAGAGGCCGAGAGGCTGGACTGCCAGCACCACACCGCTGACAGCCGGGCACATCTGCGGAGCCCGGGGGAACAATCAGCGGGCACGGCGTCCTGGGAGCTGGGGACACGCCTGCAAGGTGTGTGATCCTTTAAAGATCCTTGGTACTAGTTTTGCAGGAAGCCTTTGTTACAGCTTTGTCAGCCTGCCCGCCTTCAGCAGCTCCTCCGGGCCCCTCGGTTCCCTCCTGGCTCGCCCCAGCGGAGGGGATCTGCCCAGAATCAACTGCCCTGTTTCACCTCCCCTCCTGCAAGATTCTCGTCCGTTGGTTACAGTCTCCCCTCCGTGTTTGGGGCAGATAAACACGGTTCATCCCGCCTGCAGGATTGGGGCGATGCTGTCCTGGAAGAACAGGCTTTCTGAATGTGACCTCGGGTTGCTGCAGCGGCGCCATACTGCTACAGATGATGGAGTAGCTCGCCTGCCACGGTAGGGCGACTGTGGTGGGCACAGCAGGGCGGACAGAGGAGGGGTAACCTGCCTGCCCAGGCTAAAGATTTGAGGATTCTGACAAAAAGAAATGGTTGAGGATGACGCAGTTGTGAACTAACCTGGCTCCTACTGCCCCACAGGGCAACCAGTCCCAGTAGTCTTGGGTACCACTGCCCCCACCATATCATCATTGTAAAGGATGGACTCCTGCTGAGCCAAGGTGCAGCTCTAGGCAGGATCTCTGAAGGATGCTCTGGCACACAGAGGGTGGAGGTATGACTTTACATGCACACAAGCTTACATGTGCCCTGTCATATATGGTTACACTTTTCCCCATTCCCCCACAGTCTTCCTATTTAACTTGTCTTCATTCCTCCTTTCTAGGGCTTTCCGCCTGCACACAGTCATTTGGAGAAAATCAAGTGGCACACCTCTCCCCACAGAGGATTCTGTGTGTTATGTAACACACTTACACTGGAATTCCTCAAGTTACCATTTTGCCCCAAATCAGCCAGGACCTGGTTTTCTGGCGGGGGTGTCAGGATGATGCAAATGGAGGTGGAAGCTTCATTCCCTGGGGGCTTTTATTCCCCTCCTTGAAGCCCCAGTTCAAGGCCCAGGAACAAAGGGTAAAGGTAACTGATCTCTCTTTTGGTCTTCCTCTCCCCTCACTTCTACCCCCTCATCTTCAAACCCTCCTCTTTGATAAATAGAGGAAAACCAGTGGGATCAGGTACGTATGTAAATACTACTGACCTCAACCTCCCCTTCTCACTGAAAAGCGGAAAGCCTGGTTCAGGTACAGGCTGCTCCCTGCCTTCGAGTGTCCACCACTTCTACTCCCCCAGACATCGTGAGACTCAAGGCTACTCACTTAACATCCCTCTCTTGTTAAAAACTTTCAGGACAACTCTTAAATAGTTCTTGGAAGAGTTAAAGACCTTCTTTCAGGAGTGAAACGTTTTTAAAGCCTTGCTTGGCAGAAATCATTAAGGCATACAAAGTAGAATCAGTAGGCTTGCCTGAGCAATTTTGAAATTTGAAAGATTGCTCCCCATGAAATGTTAATTTAAAATAGTTTGTAGATGTTATTTTGTTCTATGATGGCTTTTTCACTATTGTCACCTAAAGATTCTCAAGACCAAGCTACTAAGACATTTCTTTTGATTTGGTTAGTTTCTGGGTGATACTATACTTTCTGATTAGACTTATTTAATTAATTTTTTTTTAACTCTACAGGACAGTTTTCAACCTTGAAAATGTAAGTGAAACACAGACTGGCCCTCCCTCTGAGACCCTGTTAGGGGCAGAAAGGAACAAATCTAGCTAGCCTCACTCACACCTCAAAGTTTCCCTGTCTGAACCTGGGTATGGTAAGCATGGTGGGTTTTGACGTCTTTTATTTTATTGCTAGCTCAAGGAAAATTCTTTGAAATGACTATTCTATTTCAGTGTGCAGTGTTCCAGCCAACTAAATGGGCTTGCCTTATGCCGAGAGGCAGTCCTGGAGGACAGAGCTAATATGTGATCTCGCAGGAAGCTCATCAGAACACCTCTTGTCCCTTTTCTTAAAAAAAAAAAAAAAAATTAAAAAGGTTTTGCTTCCCTCTCAGTGTCTGTTCCATTATTTTGTAGCTACAATAATGAAACATGGGCAGCAGTGATTATTGTTTTTGTCCTTTGTAACCATGCCTAGTGTTGGGAACTCACCAAGCCCCAGACATACCTCGGATATATTTTGTGCTTTTCACATTTATTTACTGCTCACTGGGCCACATAGATCATTCACACTTGATTCTGCCTTCCTGTGGACAACTCTTCCTCAAACAACACCCCTCTATGAACTTACAGCGAAAGGAGATTCACTTAGAGAAAACTTCCTGAATTAAAAAATACCAGACTCAGTTTCACCAGGTAATTGATCCTGGTCATACCAGTGACTAGGAAGTCATCACCTAACACTCTCAGGAAGGAGGCAGGCCAGTGGGCACATTTCCACGGACATTTCTAAAACGGTGGCAACTAAGTACATTTTATACATACAATTTTAATAGTATATTCCCATCCAGCTTAAGGCATTTAAAATGCAATTTTGTTCACACTCGTGCGTGCACACATAGGCACACGCACGTGTCAACTACGGTGATATTACCAGCCCATTTCCACTGGGCAGTACTAGAATCAACAAACTTCCTTTCTGAAGAGTAAAAAAGAAAACAAAAACCTCTCCATCTATTTTAAAAGGTTATTTTATACTGTTTAACATTCTTTCCAGACAGGAATTGGCTGGGCACTTCTGCTCCCTTTTCAAAGAACAGGTAAGCTAACTACTCTCTCCTACTCCTCCCCAAAACCAAGCCATTTTAAAAGCTAAAATTTCTGTTTCCAAAGGAAGGAAAAGGAACAAATTCCATTAATGAATTATATACATGGAATGTGGCTTGTCTCGGACGTTTGTATTTGTAAATAAATGGCTCCCTGTTTATTATGTATGTTTTACTGGGATTAAAAAAACGAACTGTAATGCCTCTGAGCATGTTACAATACAGCAAATATTTCCGCTTATGGTTTAAGTTCCACTGTTTTCTGGTACTCACTAGAAAGAAATCGGGTTAAATGGAGTCAGTTGTGGGGTTTAAACTTCCAGGCTGACTTGGGGAGGCGGCACCTCTACGTTTACCTAAGTACTGGGGGGAGGAAGGAAGGCTCCCTGGGAATGTTATGGGGATTAATCTGGGGTTTCGCTTTTGTCCCTGGATCTTTCTAACGCTGACCACGGCCTCGGTTTGCAGCTTCAGAAGCGAAGCCGGCGTGCGATCTCCTTGGCAGGCGGACTGGGCACAGTCCTCTGCCTTGCCCTGCTGCCGGCGCCCGCACACCACGGTCTCAGTCAGTATCGCCCCGTAGGCCCAGGCCTGCAATCCTCCAGCGGAGATGGGATCCGGGGTCGAGGGGGCGGGGGAGGGGGGGTGACTGTCACTGGGCCAGGCACAGGCAGTCTATCCTGGTGCCTGTAAGGCGCTGGAGTTTCCCACACGCGGGAAGCGGAGGCGTGGGACAAGCGCCGGGAGCTACCCAAGAACTCCACAGCCCAGGGCGGCGCGCAGGGCCTGGCGGCGCGAAACCTCCACAAAGCCGCCTGCCGCCTGCTGCCTTGCCTCCGCTCCGCAGTCCCAGCTGTCTGGACCTCGGTGTCCTCCCAAACAATGAGACCTGCCAGTGCACTAGGCGGTTCTGCTCTGACTTCTCCCCGCACACTGGGACCCGAGCGAAAGGTTATAGGTTGGAACCAGCCAGTGTATCTCCTTCCACGCACCGCATCCTTCGGGAAGACAAACGGAGTACGCCCTCCTCGTCAATTTCAGGCCCCGGTCTGGGCCACACAGTCCTGGAAGACTCAAGGGGTCACGGGTCCAAATCCGTTTTTACTTTGTCCTCCGCTCCAGGGCTCTAGGGCCCTGGGCAGCAGAGATGGGGATTTCAGAGAGAGAGGCCGAGACAGCCAGGCCTTGAACTCGGCCCCTCTGAACTCCACCGTCTGCAGCAGGGGCGGCAACTCAATTCTCCCGGGAGGAGGCTGCACCCCGCCCCCCAACGGAAAATCCGCAAACATCGCGCGGAGACCCACAGCATTTCTACCTTTCTTTCCACAATCTCCCAGAAAGTTATCGACAGAAACTCTGGAACCTGAGCCGACTCCAGTCTCCAGCAAATCCCTCAACCTTCCAAGGAAACTTTCAGAAGTTTCCCTTTCCCTCGCTCCTCACGGACTTTCTCCAGGCCCCAAGTTTGCTCATTACTCTGCTGACTGCCCCTTAGTCTCTAGGGCTCCCCAAGTCTGAGTGTTTCCCGAATAATAATAATAATTGTTATGAGGCTACGGAGGAACAGGATCAGAGGGTAGGAGGGACTGAGGGGGAGAGTGGAAATGTTTATAAAAAGGTTTATTTAAACCTGCGTTTCAAAAAGGTTCAGTTGACAATTATCAGTAACCCCGATAGACAACTCCATTAAAAAAGAAGAAGAATTTACTACTGCTCTTGAAAGCCGTTATTTTTTACATCGCTTTTTAGGAAGATAGATGAACAAAACATCGCGTTTCAAGCCATTTTGATCTGTAATTGAAAGGCAGGATCGGTTTGTATTCTCCTACGGCTTTTATAGAAGTTGCAGTGATCCAAAGTCGGGTTGCTGTGTCAGAGTGGCATTTTTATTAATGAGAATACAAAAAGCTTGCATATTCTTAGCCCTGCTTGAATTTAGTTGCTAAGCAACCGGTGTATGGTAATTCATCCGCGAAATTTAAATCTTTGAGAAAGGATCGTGCGTTTTGCTGAATGGTCGCCACGAGGAAAACAACTTGTGGGACCCGCAGCAGCTGCCACACTCTGGCCTCCCGGCCATGCAGGGCCGAGCAGGGACCGGGCCGCCCCACCGCGACCGCCACCGCCCCACCTCTGCGCCCAGCCCTGCCCTTCCTCCCGGAGAGAGAGCGAGCTTTGGACTACCGGCTGCCCCGGGTCTCCCTTCCCCTCCGCCTCTTCTGATCCCGGGTTTTCACCCGAGGCAGGCCTTACACCTGACCCCGTCGCCTGCATCCCTAGGGCTTCGGGGTCCAGACTGCGAAATTCCGCATTCCCCTCCCCTCACGCGCACCCACAAGCACACGGCACGCGCACACACACTAGCGCACACAACGTGCCGCCACGAGAATGCCTGTCGCCCTATTCCCAGACCCCTCTGAGGTCACTTCCAGAGCCGACTCTTCCTTGAGGAAGACCGCTCTCATCAAGAACGCAGCCCACAGCCCGCCAGAAGGCCAGGCGGCCGCCTCTGGCCGGCAGTGACATCATAGGCTCCTGCTCGCCAAGCTCGCGCCCACATTTTAGGATACAGGAACAAACACGGATGTGAAATCAAGAATGAAAGAGAGAGTAATCTAATTAATAGGCCATGAGCCAGGCTAACAAAATCAAAGAATCTGATTACACAAGTACCCCTCTTGCTATCTCCGCTGCCCCCACCCCCAGCTCCTCCAGCCTGCGCACTATTTCCTTTCCTAGGCAGCAAAGTTCAGGATGCAAACGCAGAGCCCTCTGCTTTCCTTATTGAAATCAACGTCAAGCCTACGGTGAGGATCTCGCACCCAAGAGGTCACAGGGGTGACCTTCAGGGCCTCAGACCAGCAGCCCTGTGGAGCTGAGATGACCAACTGATCTACAGAACTTGGAGAGCCTGAGAGGTTGACCCACACTTCTCAAATTCATCACTCTTAACAACAACAACAACAACAACAACAACACCTGTGCTGATTGCTTATGCTGTTAGTAGCAGGACTAGGATAAAGGGCTTCTCCACTCACAGTCATTTTATAGATCATCTAATTTTTTTTTCTTCAATCTAGCACAACTCCTCTCTTTTCATATCACCTTGTTTCTGGGTCACTGATAACTTCAAACTCCCATCTCCTATTTCAACTCCCTTTCCCAACATTGATGTCTGAGCACAGTCAGGTATTGGGTTATCACTGAAACATAGCATCTGCTCTAATCGTTGCAGCCAGCCACGTGCATTTCATGAAAAAAGAAAATTCTTTAATTTCTGCCTTTCTGCCTTAACAAAAACAGTCAGGTCCACCTTTTAAATAATTAATTTCAAGTCTGCATCCACTGCCAATACTTGTTGCATCCATTTTAGAGTTGATTAATTACCCTGGAACTTGGGCAAACTAAACTCCATGTGGAGAGAATGTTTCTTCCTTCAATTTAGTTCTGAAAGCTACACGTTATTAATGGATCTTACTCAATTTACATACAAATTAGTGCAAATATGCCCATCTCTTAAAGTGCATTTTTGTATAAATATATAAAAGTATCATTTTTAATTTAGCTTAAAGAGGTTGATCATTTATTACAAAAATAAACGAATAAATACAACAATATATTGTTGCTTCCAACAGGATAAATACTTTACAAATATATAATTTAAAAAACAAATTTAATTGTTAAAATTATTTAAAATATTACACTTATCGATAAAACTATCAATAGTATATACTGCATTTAATATTAGAACCAATTATTCTCTGAATGTTGAAAACCATTGATACAAAACAGATTATGAGCATGGTCATGAGCAAACACTGGAGGCTGCAGGGCAGCAGAGGGAATCTCTAAAGATCAATAATGAACAGTTCTATTTTGGAACAAAGAAGTAGTCCTTGGCCAAGCACTAAAAAAAAAAAAAAAAAAAAAGGCAGAGCAACAACAGCAAAGTGACTATTTTAAATACACCTTGAATGATTTATCTCACAGACTTGCCAGGTGAAGATGTTTGTGGGAGTGAGGTGACCCGACGGAGGCTTGGACAACTGATCAAGAGCCACAGGAGACTGTAAACTGTAAATGGGCCTAGTTTGGGATTAGTCAGACTGATGGAACAGAACTTTGTCACTTTCATTTGGGTTGGAAGGGGAGGGGGGTGGATTGAAATGGAGGAAACAAATGGGCACTTTACAAAGCACAAGACACTTGGTGCAAAGGAACACAATGACCAAATTCATTAAAAAGATCTGGTGATATATAACAATATTTTCATTATTTACATGTGTAACAATATAAGCCTTAGCACAAAACCTCTCAGTTATATCTGCCCTCTTTTGTTTTTCAACCGTGAATTTCATTTTGTAATTACATTCAAAGGGTTGACTAAAAAAATGGAGTGCAAGCATTAGCTCACTTTATAAAATGCAAAATAATGAAACAAAATGGGCTTGCTTTCCCAGCTTCTCCAATTAAAAGTTACTCTGCTACCCCCAAATCAGGGATTCTTCCAGAGTAATCAGCAAAGTTTGCTTTTTAATAGAAAACAGTGTGAAATCTAATGTTAGCTCTTTTGTTGTCAGCTAAATCAAGTAAGCAGATACCTCCTAAAATTTTTTAATAGACCCATTACTTGTCTAATCAACCACCACCACTCACATAGGAAAAACAAGATTCCATCTCACGTGCCAGTTGTATCCACCACATAAAAACAACCTGACCAGTCCACAGCTTTCCTATGAGGACTTCTTTGCTTTTCTCTATAGACACCCCCAAAAGGGTGAACTTCTCCCCCACCCCCCACTCCAGGTTGTAAATTTGCTGGGTATAGGGATTACAGCAGCAAGAGAAATAGGGAACAAGAAGGCAAAGAAAACTAAATTGTGGTTTGTTGTCTTCATTTTTTTCTTCTCTCTGTTTAATAAATGTGGCCTTTTTCAGATTTCACAAATCAAAATGATTGTGATTTTTAGTACGATTTGGTGTTTAAAATAATGCAACCCAATACATGGCCATCTGGCTGGGCTTGATTTATGAAAGTGACACAGAGCCTGTCTGGGAGAAATAACTATTCCTTGTTGCTCTCACAGTTTTCTGGGTTTTTTTAACCCCTGAATTGATATCATAGGGAGAGGGAGTGAAGATGAGAGAAGGAGGAAAGAAGTGAGTGAAAGCTAAGTGAGACTAGGGGAAATCTGTCTATAAAATCATTGCTCTATCACCACTAAATACTTTTTTTTAAAGTACAATATGTAGGGACTCAACTAAGCAAAGCCTTTAGCGTCTTAAGTACTCACAACCTGAGGCATAACATTTTCATTTTCCCATATTGTAAATATTGAAACATTAACTTGATCAATGTAACCGCGCTGCAGGGTTTATCTGAAAGGTGACCTAAAAGCTAAAACCCCCAGCACCAGTAAAGAAGATACAGAATCACACTGGGGAGAGACAAAAACACAGACACATAGAACCTTAAGTCTGAGTTGGTAATTGCACAGATGGAATGCAGTGTAGACCACAGTCAGGATTTTAGAACTATATTCTTTCATTACGGGGGGAAAAACCCAAAAAGCTTAATAATTTAAATTTAATTACATATAGTTATTGATGGGAAGTAATTGATATCAAAATATTTTATAGACTTATAAGCGACTCTTAACAACTATAGTCTTCAGAAAAAGAGAAAAGAGACAGGAACATGTTGGGAGGGGGCAAGAGAAGAAAAAAGAAGCTGCACTTGGGAGGAGGGGCTGTATTAACCATTAATAACCAGTTGGCTCGTTTTTTACTGGTGATATTGTTCAATCTTCCAATAAGAAACACAGGTATTGCCAAGAAAAGGGTCAGTATTTAGGCAATCTCACCTAAAAACACTAAAGACATTCACTAAAACTAAGGGAGGGGAAAATATTGTGAGTTTATGGATTAACGAGGAATGACTACTATGTTAAAATACTGTCTCAGCAATGCCTATGCTTTCTCTAGATTTCCAAAAGTACCTTAAGTGGAGCAGGCTCTACTTCCTCAACGCTATTATAAGGATTTTCATTAGTAAAAAAATATGTCATAAAGAACTTTTCTTCCCACACAGTGTTTACGCATCAGACACAGACTATTTCATTCTAACAAATTTATTTTCTCGATCAGCTCTTACGGAATCACTACTCAAATTAAATTACAATCAAATGATCACATCAAAAGATACCCTTATTACCTAACAACTGTCCATATTTTCATTTCATTTTGATTTGTGCTCGTCTGAAAAAAACACGTAATACAAGATCTGGGGAAAAATAAATTACCGTTTTGCAGCAGTTCATAAGTATTCTGAATAAAATATTAAAAGAAGTCATTTAATGAAAATATAAAGCAAATATTTTTAGATCAACAACGGATCTAACAATTCTATATTGCCGTCTTTTGAAAAGTCTGTTTATTAAAACCTACCAAAAACACTGCTTGGAAATGGCAGTATTATATAATCACATCCACAGCACCCATTCAATCAAAGTTGGCAAAGGACTGAGGAGAGAAGTCCAGAGAAGTGCAGCGGCTGGTGCTCAGTCTTTCTAAATTCCTTTATCTGAGTCAGTCCAGAAATAAAAAATAAAAAATATTAATAAAAAAAATATTAGCGGTGGAATCTTTAGGCATCGTCCACCCTGAATGGCAGTCGTCAACGACTGAGTACAGGGCCGGGCCTGGCTCGGCGGCCTCGCTGGCTGGGGCCCCGCTCTACTCCCAGTCTGCCCGCCCGCTGCGACCCGACTCAGCCCGGGCCTCTTGCCACTCCCCTCTCCCTCAGCGCCTTCCCGATGCTTTTATTTCCAAGTTACTTTGAGGATACTTTTCTTTTGGCTTTGCTATTCAGTCTGTTAGTTTCAGAAGCTGTGAATATAATCATTATTATTATTTTTCTTTCCCGGAGACTGTTTTTCCCCCCTCCTTCCCGTTTCAGAGTTGATTTGTTTGTTTCCAAATGACTTTAATATGGCCAAGAAAAACAGGGTCCCAGAGCACAGCGTCATCCCCTAATGGAACCGGGTGCCTCTGTTTTCTCTCAGGTCGCTCCCAGGAAATAAAGTTTCCGTGGATCTATTTAGGCAGCTGTTTCAGAGAGAGAAAGTGAAAGAAAAGGGGACTCTCTCTTTTTTTCAAAGAGGAGAAGTCGAGGCAGGTGCTGTCCACCGCTGCCCTGTAGATCATCTCAGGGTGGGAAAACCTCACGAGTGCAGTTTTGGTGCGTCAGGCATCTTCACCCTTCTTTACAAACAAAAACAAAAACGAAACACCACCACAGTATAAACGAGATCTCGTGATCGCCCCGTTTTCTCTTCCGGTTTTGTTTGTTATATATGTATATAAAACAGTCTGGGTGTTTATTATGCTTATTTTTTGGCCCCTCCTTCCTTGGACTGCAAAAATGCCTCCTGGGTCCGTCTCTCCCGCGTTTTCTCCTCCAAGGGCGGGCATGCCTGTCTCTGGGCGGAGGGGAGGGCGACGGATGGGCCTGGGCTGAAGCCCGGAGCGGCCCACGTGCATGGTCCGCGCGGCGGCAGCGGCGGCGGCGGCGGCGGCGGCGGGGGCGGCGGCGGTGCTGACAGCGGCTGCGGAGGCGGCGGCGGCGGCGGCCCTCATCGCGCTGCGCCCTGGCTTCACTGCACGCTCGTCTGTAGCCCGTGGTGCGGCGGTGGCGTGTCGGCGCTCACGGTGCCCACCTGCGAGTAGACGTCGTCCGGCGTCTGCTGTTGGATCCCGGGCGGCGTCATGCGCTTCTCCTTTTGGCGCCGATTGCAGAACCAGACCCGCACCACCTCCTTCTCTAGCTGCAGGCTGTCGGCCAGGTTGGTGATCTCCTGCGCGGAGGGCTTGGGGCACTTGAGGAAGTGGCTCTCCAGCGCGCCCTTGACGCTCACCTCGATAGAGGTCCGCTTCTTGCGCTTGCGGCCCTGCGCCGCGATCTTGTCGATGCTCGTGGGGCTGCCGGTGCTTGAGTCCGCCTCCTCCAGCCACTTGTTCAGCAGTGGCTTGAGCTTGCACATGTTCTTGAAGCTCAGCTGCAGGGCCTCGAAGCGGCAGATGGTGGTCTGCGAGAACACGTTGCCGTAGAGCGTGCCCAGCGCCAGCCCCACGTCGGCCTGCGTGAAGCCCAGCTTGATACGCCGCTGCTTGAACTGCTTGGCGAATTGCTCTAGGTCGTCCGACGTCGGCGTGTCCTCGTCCGAGTGAGGATCGTGGCTGTTGAGTCCAGGCCCCGCGCCGCCACCGCCGCCGCCGTGGTGCGGGGGTCCCTGCGCGTGGTGCGGGTGCGGCGGGTGCGGGTGCGCGTGGTGATGGTGGTGGTGGTGGTGCTCGGCCAGCTCTGGCGTGTCCCCGCGCACCAGCCCCGGGTGCACCAGGCTCTGGGCGCCGCCGCCCGCTCCGCCGCCGCCGCCGCCGGGCCCCGGGGGCGCGCTCAGCATGCCGTTCACCGTAAAGCCCCCGGGCTGCGAGTAGAGCAGACTCTGCGGCGGTGGCTGCTGGCCCCCGGCCATGGACGGGAGGTGCGCGGCGGCGGCGGCGGCTGCTGCGGCGGCGGCGGCTGCGGCGGCCGCCCCCCAGCCCCCGGGGTGGCCCTGATGCGGTGGCGGTGGCGGGGGGCCGAGGTGCGGCGGCCCGCGGTGATGCAGCGCTGTGCCCGCGTGCAGGTCGTCGCGCCCGGCGCCGCCCTTCACGTCGGGGCCCTGCGGCGGTGGCGGCGGCGGCTGCGGCGGCTGCTGGGGGCTGCCTGCCATGCCCACGGCGCTGCCAGACCACGGCGAGCTCGCCTCTACGGCGGCGGCGGCGGCGGCAGCGGCGGCGGCGGCGGCGTGGGGCAGGGCTGTGACCCACTGGTGCGCGTGGCTCAGCATATGGCCGCCGTTGCTGGCGGCCATGGCCCCCTGCATGAAGTCGCTCTGGACCATCTTGACAGAGGACGGGTCCCCACGGTAAGCGCCCGAGGTCACAGCGGCGCTGCCCGGCTGCATGCCGCCGCCCCCGCCCCCTGCGCCGCCCCCGCCCCCGCCGCCGCCGCCACCCCCGCCGCCGCCGGCCCCTGCCGCCTCCGAGTGCACAATGGAGCCGGCCGCGAGCAGGCTGTTCCCCGGCAGGTAGGGGTTAGAAGCCGCCGTGGCCATGCCGCTCCGCTCCCGCCACCCCACCGCCGCCACCACCGCCGCCGCCGCAGCAGCAGCCGCGGCCGCCGCCGCCGCCGCCGCCGCCGCGCCTCCCGCCTCCTCCCCCCTCCTTCCCCGCCCCCGCCCCGGGCCCCCGCCGGCCCCGCCGCCTTCGCCGCCTCCTCCTCGGCCGCCGCCTCCGCCCCCGCCGCCGCCGCCGCCGCGGCCCCCGGCTGCAGCTGCAAGGCCGCTCGGCAGGGCGCGGGGGTCGCCGGCCGGCCTTGGTCACCAGCAGCAGCAGCAGCCGCAGGAGCAGCGCTCTGGGGAGGGGGGCTCGCTTCTCGAGGTGCGCTCCGTGGCCACCCCTTTCAGGGGGGGTCGTGGCCGCCCCCCAGCCCTGGCGCGCTCGGCTGGCTCCAGCGGGGCTCGCCGGGCAGGGCGGGGACCTGCACTCGGGGCGCTCTCCCGGGGCCCACGGGCTCCCGCTCCTCCTCCTGTCCTCGGGCGAGCCCGGACCCTGCCCGGCCGCGGGGCTCGGTCCACCTGCTAAGTCAAGGTTTCACGGGAGACAACAAAGAAAGAAGCTGCTCCTGTCTTCCTTAGCCAAATTACGGATGACCAGCAACCGGTCCGCTCCTTCTCTGGTCCTCTCTCTCCTCTCCTCCTCAGGAACACATTTCACTGGTTTTCCCTTGGAGTAGTAAAACTTTTTTCGTCCTTGAAGGCGTGGTGCTGCAGGCTGCTCGCGAGTGCGGAGAGGGGAGGCTTGCTCCTGCTCTCCCCCTCTGGTCCTCTCGTTTCAAGTTTTGTTCTGTCCTAGGAAAACTTCTTGCGATGGTGCATTTCTCTGAAGTTGCTATTGCCGGAGCTCTTGGTTGCCTCTGAAACAAGAGTCCTTTTTCATTCTCCTCGCAACAGTCACAGTCTGATGCGACATCTTTCCTTTTGGGCAGAAATTAGGAAACAAATATAACAAGGAAAAAATTGAACAGGAAAAAAAATGATGTCGAATCGCTCTGTTACCTTGTTGCTGACGGTTGGGGTTGGTGTTTTATTTTTTTCCCAGCAGTTGTCTGGAGAAGGAGGAGGAAGAAGAGTGCATTGGTGGAGGTGGAGGTGTGTGTGTGCATATAGGGGATCGATCCTTGAAACACAACAACTCCAGTGTGCACGTTCCACGGCTCGTAGAGTGCACCGACGGCGGGCGCTGGCGCTGGCCGTGCTGGAGCAGAGTTGCAGCAGGAGCTCGCTCTGCGCCCTCGTTCGCGCTCTCTTTCCCTCTCTCACTTTCCCTCTCCCTCCCTCTCTCCCTCTCTCGGGCGCCCGCTCGATCTCCGATCTGACAGTTCGCTCTCTGTCCCTCCCTCTCAGAGCGGGGACTGTCGAATGTTTACCCTCCGCCGCGAGCGCGCACCCACCACCACACTTTCCCAAATACAAGGAAGTCGAGCACCAGAGCCCCCGCTGATTGGCTACCCGCTGGGTGATTGGCAGGCTCGGAATGAGTGGCTTAGGACGCGAGGCCCCCCTTCCGGCCGTTCCGATTGGTTGCTTTTTAATTTAGGCAGAGCGTCGTAGAAGCTGGAAATCTGTCGTTCCCCAGCCTCCCTCCCCTTCGCCACTTTCCCCTCCCCGCCGCCCCCTCCGCCACATCTTAACTCTTAGTGTCCAGCCCAGACGTTGGCGTTCCCTCGGCGGCTACGGGCGTTCGAAATAGGTCTGGGCCGGGGGAAGAAAGGGGAGATAAAAGGGAGGGAGGGACGGGAAATGGGGGTGGGGGTGGGGGAAGAGAGTCAGAAGGAAAACGAAACGAAGAGGGAAACATGAAAAATAGCAACCTTTCCACCCCACCTAGTACGCGTCGGATTGCTCACCCCACTCCCCCCGCCCCGCCAGAGATTTGTAAAGCGCGCAGCACAGACGTACGGTTCAAGCTAATACCTATAGACAGATGTGTCCCCAGTGGTTTCAAAGTTTCCTCTTCCCTTCACCAGCCGGCCCCCATCTCTGATCGGCGGGGGTGGGAAGCGGGGGCTCGCATCGACAAGAGCTCTGGTCGTGGCCACTACGCTCCTTGGAAATCCGCCACCGCAACTTTCCGCAGCCACTGCGCGCTGGCGGCGGCCCCCTTTGTTTAAGTTCTCGGATGCCATCATCGGGGAAACCTGCAGCCCAGGACCAGAGCGGTGCCTGCGCGTGCGAGACGGACCGCTCGCAGCCGCCGCTCGCTCGCTTCCCCACCCCCTCTCTCCCTCCTTCGCTTTCCCTCCCTTCTTCCCTCCTCCCTCCTCTGGGATTCGTGCAAGTAGCGTGCGTGCCCTTGTGAGTTTGGAGGGTGCCGGTCAGCGGAGCCGTGCGATGTATTTGAAAAGCAATCAGTCCGACCTTCCCCCATAGATTCATCGTAAGTGTATTCGACTCCAATGGCTTTAGGAATTCCCGTGGCAGCAGGAGCCGGGCGAAACAACCGGGATCCGCTAGCCGCGCCCTTCTCTGCTCCACCGCTTCGTCGTGTGTGTGTGTGTGTGTGTGTGTGTGTGTGAGCGGTGGGGGGTTTGATCGCTCCCTATTCTTAGGCATGGTGGTGCTTTTTTTCTTTCTTTCCTTTCTGTCTCAGATGGATTTGTGTGGTGGATGGGGCTGGCAGCGACAAACGCTTTCTCAGCTCTAGCCCAGCTGAAAGAGTTAAGGGGGACGGGTGGGGGAGTGCACCCGGTAGGCGAGAGAAGCGGGGGTGGGGTGGGGTGTGTGTGTGGGGGGGACGCGGCCAAGCGGAAACGCTGCACAGAGGAACCTCAGCGAACCAAGAAAAAAGAGAAAGTGGCAACGAAAACAAGGGCAAATTGAACCCTCCTCGGGGATTTCCAATGAACTAACCCAACTCGGACATTCAATAAATACAAGGCTCTTAATGAGCGTGCGTGTGCGTGCATCCCGCACCCACAGCTGCGGGTGCGCCCGCCCGCCCTGCGCCCGCGGCCCCCAGCCTGCGCCTGCATCTGGCAGTCCCGAGCCGGAGCGGCGGCCCAGGACGCAGACGAGGAGCTGCTGCCGGTGCGCTTCGATTAAAATGTGAACCGGCCTCCCTTTTCTCCCGCTGTATCGTGCCTCTGCCGAGCGCAGTTAGGTGAACTCAGTGAAAGCAGGAGTTCTCTGCCCAGCCGCAGCCACGCAGCCTCTGCGTGATTTCAAGATTAACACTAGATGCGTAGAATTTATGTAGGCTCTCGTCCAGCTCCTGCTTGCCGGGTGAGATACCATCGTAGGTAGGTTTTAGCAAAGCCATTATTGCTAAGGTATAGATATGAAAGGCACTGGTAACCAAACCCCAAACAGAACGGATTTTTTCCCTCTGCGTCCCCCAAAGGTTGCTTTTTATATTTATGTATGCGTATACGTATATATAAAAGATGGAACACAGATTTCATTGAATAAATCTGAGATCTCCAGGTGCAGACGTTTGAATAGTCGGTGCCAGCACCCCGTGTTTTCCTTTCCTGC